GCTTTGGGTTTTGTGTTTCCCAGCCCCAGAACAGCCTGCCCGACATCGTGATCTGGATGCTGCAGGGCGACAAGCGCGTGGCGTACGCCCGCGTGCCGGCCCACGAGGTCCTCTTCTCCAGGAGCATCTCCGGCTGCTGCGGCAAGAACTGCGGGAAGCTGCAGACCGTCTTCCTGAAGGTACCTTGGCTTTGGGTGTATGTGCGTGCGTGGCGGTTACTTTGAAAACATCCTTTTTCCCCTAAAAGAAAAGAGAGGGAAAACCAAGCAGGGAAACCTGAAATCCCAACACAACGTCAACCCACGAGCGGGTGCTGGGACCCCCCAGCCCCAGTTTCAACCCTGTTGGTGCTGGTTCCTGCACGGTGAGAGGCTGGTTGGGCTTCAGCTCATCTTATGTGGATCTGCAGCAGATTCCTGTGAATATCTTTGTATTTTCTGCAAGTTCCAGGGCAGCGAAGATGGGTGCACTTTGGCCCAGATGGTGCTTTTTTAAAAAAAAAGTGTTTTAGTTTTTAATTTTTTAATGTTATTTTATGTTTTTCAAAATTCCTGACCCTCTGCCACTGCAGGAAATTTAAGCTGCGGCCTCCTCTGCCAGGCACTTACCGAGCTTCTCACATCTCAAATGATATTTCTTTGGCCTTTTGCTGCGTGCCAGCTTGGGAGCAGACAATCAGTGCTGAACAAGCTCTAAAAAAATAAAGTGAAATAAAATAAACTGAATAAACCCCAAAACCCCAAGCCCAGCTGGCAGCAAAAGAAGAACCAAAATATATTGGGTTTTTTTCTGTACTTTAGCTCTGGATGGAAAACTAGCATCACTTGAAGGGGAAAAAAAGTGACTGAGAGAGAAAAAAAAGGGCAGTGAGACATCTCGCTGTTTATTCTTTCTATTTTTGCTGAAGTATGCTGGCTGGCTTTGGTGTCCTAGCCCTGAAGGGTGTCTCACCGAGATGCAGCAGCCCTGACCACCAGGGCTTTGGAGCTCCTCAAGGTCATCCCCAAAGTGCTCTGCCTGCTGTTGATGTTGCCCCAATTCCCAGGGATGCTCCGTATCCCCTCTACCCCGGTGCGTCCCCAGCTGGGGCTATGGGGGCTTCACATCCACCACCCCCAGCCTCGTATCTCCAGCATCCCCCATTAATACCCTCCTCGGGGATATTAACGGGTCTCTGCCTTTGGCAGTACCCCCAGGAGGAGGCGACAGGTCCGAGGATCCCAGCCCAGATCCGCGTCCAGCTCTGGTTCGGGCTGTCGGTCGATGAGAAGGAGTTTAACCAGTACGCCGAGGGGAAGCTCTCCGTCTTTGCTGAAACGGTGAGCAGCTCGCAGGGACCACCATGAAGGGTCTATTTTTCGTTCTCTGGCGTGGGCACCAGCTCCACCATGGAGGGGAGGGGATGGGCTGGGCCGTAGGTGAGGGCACTGCCTGGTGGGGGTCACGTAGGCCCCTACCGACCGTGAGAAGAAAGAGCCGTGTCCACCAGCCTCCGGGTGGAAAGGTTGGGGAGAAGGTTGGTGATGAGCCATAAAGCTGCATCGTGGCTTCACACCTCCTTCCACCTGCTGGGGGTGTGAGGGGGATATCTGGGGGTGCCCATGGGGGTGTGGGGGTTAGGGATGGAGCTCTCCAGGAAAGAAGGGATTATTCATGGGATTTCAAAAGGATTATTCATGAGGTTTTGTGCCTCCAACACAAAAAACCTCTCTGCTCTTGCTTTCCCAGTATGAGAACCAGACCAAGCTGGCGCTGGTGGGGAACTGGGGGACAACTGGCCTGACCTACCCCAAATACTCAGATGTCACCGGCAAGATCAAGCTGCCCAAGGACAGCTTCCGCCCCTCCACGGGCTGGACCTGGGCTGGGGACTGGTTCATCTGCCCGGAGAAGACGTGAGTGATGGTTTTCTGCAAAGAGCAGAGCCTGGGTGGGCTGTCCCAGGCACCCCAAACACCTGAGCAGATGCTAAGCTGGTGGCAAGGTCACCCAGAAAGCTGGATGGAGGTCTGGGGTGCCACGGGGGGGTTCCCCATCTGCCAGCCCTGTCCTTGGTGGGCAACAACGTTAATGCAAAACGGCATCATCTCTGCGCAGGGTGATGTCCCTGGGGTGGTGGGTGCTGTGCGGGTGCTCAAGGACATGGCAGCCCCATCACCCAGCTCCCTGGGGGGCCTGTGCAAGCCCCACGCTGAGGAGCTTTGGAGGTGGGATCCCAGCGGGGCACCGAGGGGATGGGAGGGGGCAGCGGATGCTCAGCAGAGCTCTGCCGGCTTCTTGCGTTGGATTTACAGCCCGTGTTTTTTGGGCTTCACCTGGGATGGGTTGCTGAGGTCTCGTGGGATCTTGGCTTGGTGCCTCCGGGGTGGAAGAGGTCCAGGAGGCACAGCGTGTGCTGGGGTGGCATGGCTGGCCCCGAGAGGAGGGAGGCACTGCTGCTGCCCGTGCAGGGCTGGGAGGGCGGGAGGGGGAGCCCCTGACGCCGTGTGTCTCCCCGGGGTGCAGGTTGCTGCACGACGTGGATGCCGGGCACCTGAGCTTTGTGGAGGAGGTGTTTGAGAACCAGGTCCGGCTGCCCGGAGGCCAGTGGATCCACATGACTGATGCCTACACCGACGTGGTAAGGGTGAAGCGAGCAGACGGGGGCTGAGCACCGCCCCAGGCTGCAGTGGCAGGAAGCCCCCAGGGGGCTCAGGGGAGATCGAGGCATCTGCTGGGCATCGTTTGATTGAAAACACCTCTGTGTCCCACAGAATGGGGAGAAGGTCCTGCACAAGGATGAGATTGAGTGTCCTCCGGGCTGGAAGTGGGAAGATGTGGAGTGGGACACAGACCTCAACAGAGCTGTGGATGAGAAAGGTATCAGGAAGGAGTTTTGGGCGTCTGTCCTCTTTTCATCCCTTTTACTCTGCCCATTGTGGTGTTTCCTTCCATGGTCCCATCCAGCACCAGGGATGAGAATATCCCCTTCATGGCTGTGTGAGCTGCCCCGCTGGCTTCAGGAGAAGGGGGTCAGGCCCTGAGTGTACCCTCTCCCCTTTGCTTTGGCTGAGGCCGAGGGGTGGATAGTCACAAAACCAGCACTTTCCTTGCTGCTGGGGATAGTCCAGGCTGCTCTGGATGATTTTACCTGTCTTCTGGTGACAGAGAAACGGAAAGCATCAGGCAGAGAGCATCCGAGATATTCACAAGGGTTGGGGTTGCCTGAGGAAGGAAGGACAGAGAGGAGAATTCCCCAAGCTGTGAGCCAAAGGCTGGTGGGACACCATGAATCCATCACCTGGGCGTCCCCAGAGGGACACCTCCATTGGGCAGCAGCACGAGTAGGTTGTTATCTGTGTGGACCAGCAAACTAGAAAAGCCCGTTGTGTGTGGACAAATCTTTGCTATTAAAGCTGTTCCAATCTGGATGTACACGAAGAGAGGTCCCTGGTGGGACACAAGGTGGGGTGCTCTCCTCCCACCTTCGTCCAGACGTCTCCTTCTCTCCAAGGCTGGGAGTACGGCATCACCATCCCACCCGACCGCAAGCCCAAGGCCTGGGTGCCGGCCGAGAAGATGTACCACACCAACCGGCGACGGCGCTGGGTGCGGCTTCGCCGGAGGGACCTGGCGCAGATGGAGGCCATGAGGAAGGTAGGGTGGGGGCCGGGGAGAAGAAGGTGAGAGCAGGTCGGGGCCACGTCCCTGCCTCTCCATGCGAAGGTGGAGGTGCTTGGCCTTCTTCAGAGACCTGCTGTGCTTTGGAGCACGGTGGTCCTGGTCTCTCTCCATGCTGGAGCAGGCAGCAGCCTCTGTGGTTTCCACCGTGGGGAGTCAACATCTTCCGGAGATGGAGACCACTCCACGGGTGCTTGCTTGGGCTGCGGGGTGGGACGGAGACCTCCCCTAGTGCCACGAAGCAGCTTTGGGGACCGGGGCTGGCAGAGGTCCCCATTCTGTCCCCTGTCCCGGTCCTGCTTCCCTCTAGGTGGTGCAATCGGACTGCAAAT